GAAGTGCCTCTTGTGCAAATTACATTCTCAGCGTGCCTGTTTATCTTCTAAGTGGTCTTCCTGAGTCCCTTCTTCTCAGCTGTTGAAGTTCTGTATGGAATAGAATTTTCTGTTTTGTCTCTGGCCCTCAGCAGGTCGTCAAAATGATGATGAGTTACTGTTGATCTTTAAGAATAAGTTGTGGATGACTAATGTGTGGGGGCCTGATGACCCGTCACATAGGATTTCAGATGAGGTCCATTTGTGCCACTCTCTGCCACTGTGTTGATTTCCTTCCAAATTGGATGATTGCTCTGGCCATGGACATTTTTTTTTTTTTTTTGACTCGGTTGAAGAGGAGGTTAGTATGTAAATGTCTTTTAAAATGATTGGTTATTTTTGTGCGTGTATGGGGCTGATGGGCAATATAAAGATTGTGACAAGGGGGTTTCTTCCTTTAAGGTATTATAGTATAGAGATGAGGGTCAGGGCTCTGAAGCATCAGACCTGGGATATAATCTCAGCCCTTCTACTTCCTGACCGTGTGTCTTTGGGCAAGTTACTTAACCTCTCGGAGCCTGTGTTTTCTCTCCTGTAAAGTAGGCATAATAGAACTGCTTTGGGGTTATCATAAGATAGTATGTAAAATGTTTACTGTAGTGCTTGGTACAGAATAAACATTCAGCTAGAACAGTTACTATGACTACTGCTGTTACTTAAAAAGTTTTGAACGGAATACGATCCGAAAAGCAAGTACAGTTCTTGGTGGTAAATGCTCTAATGGAAGTTTCCATCTGTCATCCTGAAGGAGGGAACCACTGACACCCAGTGACTGTGGGTGTTAATGAGCACTTCATAAAGGATCCTAAGAGAGGAGAAGGAGTCTTCCTGGTAGAGATGAGGAGAGGTTTCCCAGAGGCAGCAGCAAAGGTATAAGGTCGGGAAGCTAGCAGGCTAAGGCAACGGTGACACCTTACTCTCTGTGTAATAAAGCCAGTGAGGTTTTGTTTGTTTGTTTAAACAAGGGAGCCACCTGTGCTGATCTGTTCTGGTGGCAATGTGACATTTTGTGCGGAGAAGACAGGGAATGAGGGCAGTGACCTGTGAGCATGTTGCTGCAGAAGCCGAGGTGGGGTGGTGGGGGCTGGCGTGCGGCAGTGGGAACGGAGAGAAGGGATGCAGAGCTGGACAGGAAGATGAAGTTGCATGGAGAGCATGGGCATTGCAGTAACACTGGAGTTTGGATCCTTGTTTCCCCGCTTTCCGAACTGTACGGCCTTCTGTGAATTTCTTCTGAACCTCAGTTCCTTCTTCTGTAAGATTGGAACTGTCACTTCTTAGGTGTTTGGGAGGATTGAATTCAGGTGCACAGCCTGCTGCCGTGCCTGGTCCTGGTCAGCCCTCAGTAACTGTCAGCTTCGTTTCCCTCCAGAAGACTGTGTAAGGTTGAGCCTCTAGCAGTTAGTGCTTTATTGGACGTGTGAGAGAGAAACGTTGAACATGACTTTGAGGTTTCTACCTTGCAAGTATGGTGGTACTATTAAGTAAACTAGGAAAGATAAGAAGAAGGGCAGAATTTGGGGAAAAAATATGTTCAGTTTTGGATTTGTCAAATTTGAAGTGTCTGTGAGAAATCCCAGTCCTGGCTTGCAAAGACACTTAAATATGTTTAATACAGTCCTGGGATTTATTGGCATATAGATGGAAATTGATGTAGAAAATGAATAATTTTGCTTTTGGGAAAGCTTATAGACGGAGGAGAGGGCTGAGCATGGAAACTTTCAAAAACCAACAATAGAAAGTGCTGGCTACATTGCAGAGGAGGGAGGGGAAGGGAGCCGGTGGGGGCCTGGAAAACCAAGCAGGAGGCTGTTAGGGGCTCCGGTCTGGCGTTTCTCAAAGTGTGGGCCCCAGGTCACCTGTGTGAGCGTCTGTTTCTCCATTGGGCACTGAAGTCACAGTTTGGAGGTCTATCAAAATAGGAGTGACCTGAAACAAGATGAGCATTCTGAGAGTAGAAAACCATAAAAGTCCTTTCAAACAATTAAAAGCCAGAAAATTTTTCAGATGGGACAAGGGGGCATTTAAATGTTTGCTATGACTTCTTTCCGAAAGAAAGAGTGCCAGTGGCCTGGTGGCATCAACACAGCATCAAACTTGAATCAGAATCACCTGGGACGCTAGTCAGACTTGCAGGCTTTGGCCCCCCTCACTCTTCTTTCTCTCCTCCCGGGTGGAGCCCAGGCATCCTCATTTTTTAATAAGCCTTCAAGGTGGTGAAAGCTTGAAAACCCTTGATCAGGCCTTGTCTAGTGATGCTGCAAGTCCGTACTGAGATGGTGGTGAGTTTTAAGGACAGTGATACCCTTATAGCCTGTTCTGTTTTTCATACTCTGCCATCACATTGCACTTTAGAAAAATCCAATGGCATTGACCCTCACTTTTTTTCCTTTTTTCCTGAGGAAGATTTGCCCTGACCTAACACTTGTGCCACTTTTCCTCTGTTTTGTATGTCTGTCACCACCACAGCATGGCCATCGACAAGTGGTGTAGCTCTGCACCCGGGAACCAAACCTGGGCTGCCAAGGCGGAACGTGCCAAATGTAACCACTAGGCCATGGGGTTGGCCCTTTTCTTTGGGCCAATGGATAGACATACCCTCCTGGAGTACCAGCTACTGCTTTGTGTGTTGTGTTATTGGTTCTATTTCTTCTAATCTGCTAACTATGGGCATTCTCTAGGACTTTGTTGGGCTGTGGCTTTTCTTTCTCTGAGTAACTTCTAAGAACTGATCATTCTCACCTGCTTTAGTTGTTGTCACAGTGTAAATGCCTCTTACATCTCTGTGAGCCCACCTTCTTGGGCCAGCCTGTTTCCTTGGACCCAGTTTCCCTTGACTCTGCCATTGTCCTCAACAAAATGTTTATCATCACCCTTCTGCCGCTGGCTCTTCCTCTCAAGCATCTTTTCTTTCAGTGGAGCTGCCCTTCTCCTAGCGAGTCACAGCTTGACACCTCAGGGGCCTTTTCCTCCTTTCGTTCCTTGAATCCACTGAGATACCAGGTTTGGTCACCTTTTCTCTTCCAAGGTCCCTCCTGAGGGTCTCTAAGTCTTTCCTCCTCTGCTCTAATTCAGGTCTTCATAAATTCTTAGGCTCTCAACCGCTTTCCCCTGTTCTCTGCCTCCTTCAAAGCCATTTTGCCATTGCAGAATTCTGTCACATTCCCTGTTCAGAATGGTCACTGGCTTCCCGCTCCAAATTTTCAGCCTCACTTTTGAAGCTTTCTTTGCATGTGTTCACCCTGTGACCCATTCAGCTTTGTGTGCGTTGCTCGTGCGCAGTACGAACCCTCCACTAAGAACAGCTAGTGGTGCTTCTCTGATTCTACCACAGGGGGCCGGCCCCATGGCCAAGTGTTTAAGTTCGCGCGCTCGCTGCGGCAGCCCAGGGTTTCGCCGGTTCGGATCCTGGGTGCGGACATGGCACCGCTCATCAGGCCACACTGAGGCGGCATCCCACATGCCACAACTAGAAGGACCCACAACTAAAAATACACAACTATGTACTGGGGGACTTTGGGGAGAAACAGGAAAAATAAAATAGCTGGGTTTGATTCTACCACGGGGGTTCCTCTGCCCTTCTTGTTCCTTCCGCCCTCTGCGCGTCTTCCCGCTCCGTACCTATCCTTTCAACATAACTCAGCATCCAGCTCCCTCACAGAGACTTCCTCCCTGCTCTGCCCCACACTCATCTCCTTTTTCTTGATTTTTAACACTTTTATGTAGAGCCACCTTTGCATTTTCCCATATAGTTACTATCAGTCCAAAGCTCCTTGTCTCTAAGACTAAAATCCAACAAGTTTGGAAAACTGAAAACTATTTAACAATCTTGGCACAAAACTCAGGCAAAACCTCTCTGAATGGATGTGAACTGTCTTTTTAAATTTATCCCATCTAGTGTGACTATTCATATATTCTGCTTGAGAAGTATTAATCTCTCTGGTCATGGGGCAGTTGGACAGGATGGAAAGTGAAGGGACGTCATCAGCGTGTGCTTTGGGAACTGCCGAGTTCTTCTAGTAGTATTGTGCTTCTCAAAACGGGCTGTGTGTACTCCTGAGAGCATGCAGGGGAAATAGGAAATTACAACGTACGCATGCTTCATTGCCAGGAGGGTCAAATGTATTGGATGATTTGAGGGGGAGAACGAAGTGTTAAAATAGACATAGTACAGTAAAATGCCAATCTTCCATGCATTTAAAATATACAAGACAAGGTTTCAAAGGAATTCACCTACTGTGGTTAGGTGGGGAGAAGCTTTTTTTTGGTAGTTGAGGTAACGTTGGTTTATAACGTTGTACGTGTTTCAGGTGTACAACCTTGTAATTCCACCTCTCTGTATTCTACAGTGTGCTCAACACCAAAAGTCTAGTTTCCATCCATCACCATACAATTGACCCCGTTTACCGATTTCTCCCTCCCCCCAACCCTTTCCCCTCGGGTAACCATCAGTCTGTCCTCTGTATCTGTTTATTTCTGTTTTGTTTTGTTTGCTGTTGGTATTTGTCTTGAGAGGAACTTCTTCATGCTCCTCCTCGGCTGGGGTGCTCAAGCCCTGCTCTCATTCAGAACTCGAACAGTTTGCATTGTTGTGTGTCTAACTGGCTAGGCTTTGGATTTTGTACCTGTAAAGTTCTCCAGGGCCACATGGGATAGGCAAAACCTTCTGAGACCATGACTGTGTCGAAGAAGGAGTAACCCTAGTGCGCCAGTCAGACTGACTTTAGGAAGAAAGGAAGACGCAGGCAGGTGAAGGCCGGAAAGGCTTACGTAGACAGATCAGCCATGTCGTGAGGAGGCTCAACTTGACAACAGGGGCAAATTACTTGGGTTGATTTCCAAAGCTGTGTCTTCAGGTAGCCCACCATACCTCTCATTAATTTTTATTCATTTGTTTTACTTAAGCATTATTATGAATGTTTTGTGCTATTTTGCTGTGTTCTGTCTTGTTTTTCTAATAGGCATCAAATGATGGCAGCAGCCCCAGGGCATCCTGTTCTCTCCAAATTGCAGTTTGCCCCCTTTAGCAGTGCCTTGGATGTCGGGTTCTGGCATGAGTTGACCCAGAAGAAGCTGAACGAGTACCGGCTGGATGAAGGCCCCAAGGACATTAAGGGTTATTACTGCAATGGTAGGCCATAGTAAATTCCACTTCCTGTCATCTTGTGCTGTCTTCACTGCCCTCCAGTATAGGGTGAGCTTTCCTTTAGAAACAGACACCCTTGTCTTTTTTTTTTTTTTTTTTGTAATGCCAAATTCCTGCGTTTATAATGTAAACTTTTTTTTCTTTAATTGAGTTAATGATAGGTTACAATCTTGTGAAATTTCAGTTGTACATTAATGTTTGTCATTTGTGTTGTAGGTGCACCACTTCACCCTTTGTGCCCACCCCCCCACCCCACCTTTCCCCTGGTATCCACTAAACTGTTCTTAGTCCACATTTTTAAATTCCTCATATGAGTGGAGTCATACACAGATTATCCTTCTCTAGCTGGCTTATTTCACTTAACATAATTCTCTCAAGGTCCATCCATGTTATTGCAAATGGGATGATTTTGTTCTGTTTTGCAGCTGAGTAGTATTCCATTGTATATATGTACCACATCTTCTTTATCCATTCGTCTGTTGATGGGCACTTAGGTTGCTTCCACGTCTTGGCTATTGTAAATACTGCTGCAATGAACATTGGGGTGCATAGGACTTTTGGGATTGCTGACTTCAAGCTCTTTGGATAGATACCCAGTAGTGGAATAGCTGGATCGTATGGTAGTTCTATTTTTAATTTCTTGAGGAATCTCCATACTGTTTTCCATAGTGGCTGCACCAGTTTGCATTCCCACCAACAGTGTATGAGGGTTCCTTTTCTCCACAACCTCTCCAACATTTGTTACTATTAGTTTTAGATATTTTTGTCATTCTAATGGGTGTAAGGTGATATCTTAGTGTAGTTTTGATTTGCATTTCCCTGATGATCAGCGATGATGAGCATCTTTTCATGTGCCTATTGGCCATCCGTATATCTTCTTTGGAGAAATGTCTGTTCATGTCTCCAGCCCATTTTTTGATTGGGTTGTTTGATGTTTTGTTGTTGAGTTGTGAGAGTTCTTTATATATTATAGATGTTAAGCCTTTGTCAGATATATGACTTGCAAATATTTTTTCCCAGTTAGTGGGTTGTTTTTTTGTTTCAATCCTGTTTTCATTTGCCTTGAAGAAGCTCTTTAGTCTGATGAAGTCCCATTTGTTTATTCTTTCTATTGTTTCCCTTCTCTGAGAAGGCATGGTGTCCGAAAAGATCCTTTTAATACTGATGTCAAAGAGTGTACCGCCTACATTTTCTTCTAGAAGCCTTATGGTTTCAGGTCTCACCTTTAGGTCTTTGATCCATTTTGAGTTTATTTTGGTGAAAAAGAATGGTCAATTTTCATTATTTTACATGTGGCTGTCCAGTTTTCCCAGCACCATTTGTTGAAAAGACTTTCTTTTCTCCATTGTAGGCCCTCAGCTCCTTTGTCGAAGATAAGCTGTCCATAGATGTGTGGTTTTATTTCTGGGCTTTCAGTTCTGTTCCATTGATCTGTGCACCTGTTTTTGTACCAGTACCATGCTGTTTTGATTACTGTAGCTTTGTAGTATGTTTTGAAGTCAGGGATTGTGATGCCTCCCGTTTGGTTCTTTTTTTCTCAGGATTGCTTTGGAAATTCGGGGTCTTTTGTTGCCCCATATGAATTTTAGGATTCTTTATTCTAATTCTGTAAAGAATCAGACACCCTTGTCTTTTATAGTTAATGCTCTTCCTTGGTTTCTATTTTACTTCCTGACTTTCAACCCAAGTTCATTTTCACTTTTCTTCTGTTGCAGGGAAAAGAAAGGGAGTAGGGAAACCCAGGTTGTTAATCCAAAGAATTAACACTGATTACTTAGTATTTCTGGGGGAGGAGATTGCAAATATTTTTTTCTAATAAATCTTTTTTTATATTCTTGGCAAATTCCTTGAATTCACAGAAGCTCTGTCATTTTCTGCCAAGTCCCTGTTTAGTTTGGATAACCAGGAATTGGATGGGGCGCTTTGGGCTCAACAAAGAGAACAAAATCATTCGCAAATGTTTTTGTTATGAATGCTGCTATTACTGACTTGTAATTGCAAATGTGGTAATGCTTCTTCCAGGTGATTCTGCTGGGCTGCCAGCTCGCTTAACGTTGGAGTTCAGTGCTTTTGACATGTGAGTATTTTTTGCTTAAAATCTAAAGTAAAGAACACTGCTTTTTGCAAGGAATGAGCCTTCTTAACCTCCCTCATAGGTGGACCACAGGGAGTACTGGGGGACCTCCCGGCAAGCAGGACCGGCTCCTCATGATTCTCTTTACCTCCCGTAGCACAGAGACAAGTGCTGGATGCTTAGGATTGTCTGCTTCATTTTTTAAGCAGATATTTGTTAAAGCCTATTAGGTGCCAAGTACCATCTAGATTGATTGAGACTTAGATAACATCCCTCCTGATTTTGATTGTAGTTAATATTTTGTGATCTTTATTGGTACCTCTTGACTTACTCCTTTAGTTGCTTATCCACAGGCATCAATGAACGTTTATTAGGCTACTTCTGTACAAGCTGCTGTGAAAGGCATTATAGGGCTATACAAAGAAGTAAGACATATGCCTTCAAAGAGTTTTTTTATCTGGTTGGGGGCCATCGGGAGTTTCTAGAGAGAAGAGAGACATTTATTACTTAATTAGCCAGGCATTTTCACATCTATAATCCTTTCAGATCTCCCATCTGTGATTTTTTTTCATTTTGAGATGAGGGAATAATGGGTCAAAAGGTAAAATGGCTTGCCCAAGGTCGTGTGTGGCGTAATTTAGTAAGCAAGTGTGAGAAAAAGGTAAAATGTATTTCTGAGCTTGCAATTTAAGTAGGTGGTGGCATTTTGTCTTCTACAGAAATAGAGAAACCAGGAGGGGGCTACAGTTTTAGGAGGAGCTGAGTTTGGTTTAGAACACGTTGAGTTGGAGATGACAGTGCTGTGTCCAGTAGAAATGTCCAAGAGGCACTAGAGTCAAGGAAGCATGGTCAGACTAGATGTGGGAGTCTTGCACGTGGAGGAGGTCGTGAGGCTGTAAGAGAAGAAGAGTCAGAGAACAAAGGGCCAGCTGTGAATGTACTCGATTAGGGAGGGCAAGAAGATGCAGAACTAGCAAAGGAGATAGAAGTTGTCTGACAGGAAGAAGAACCGGAAACGAGTTGCAGAAACCAAAGAAGGAAATGTTTTCAGGAAGGAAAGAGATGGTCAACAATGTCAGAAGCAGGAACGTCAAAGTTCAATCAAGGGCCATTGGATTTGTTGATTAGATCTTTTGTGGTTCTTGAGAATTCAGTTTCTCAATCTGAATTCTGCACAAAAGAGGGGAACAGAAACTGTACTGAGAGGCTGTAAGACAGGTGAGAGCTGACGAATTAAAGGCTGCAGTGAGGTCAACTTTTTCTGCTTCCTTGTACCTTTGCAGTGTCAAGGTGAGGGATCAGGGGAAGTGAGAGAGGCCTTTGGAAGGACTGCCAGGCTTTTGAAAGTGGCAGTAGTCAAAGGGTAGCAGATTTCAAATAAAGTATCCCTAGAATTTTATTTTTTAAATCTCTCCAAAAGTCAGTACCTTTTGTCTTTAGAAGGTGAATGTTGGTGTTTCTTGTTCTCTTCATAGCTTTCTTGGTCTGTAATAAATTCCTTTGATTACTTGTCAAAACAAATCAAATCCCAGTAGTCGCTCTCCTGTTTTGGCAAACACTAACTTACTTTTGGAGCAATTACAAAATGATAAGGAAAATACAGACGACATTCAAGCGTTAAATTATCTGAAGATGGTAAAATGGGGACTATCAGTGCTGTAATTTTAACGTAATATGGAGATTCGAACATTCATCACAAGCTAGCTTCACTCCTGTCTTTAATCTGAGACTAGACTGAAGGTTGTCTTTTCGAAGATATTAATAGTTTCATTCTTTGGAACAATTAATTGTAGAAAAAAGCAATTCACAGAAGTTAGGCTTGATCTTATAAAATCCAAGCATCTTAAACTTCAGCAATCTAGAAAATTTATTTGAAGGAAATATGAAAATCTGTGATCCTATAGCTGTGACTTTAACGCAGATTGCTCGATTTTACTGGTCATATGTTTTCATTTAGCTATTGACTGCTCACAATGTGTGAAGCTCCATAGTGGGCCCTGGGGGAGATGAGCAAGAATGAGACATGCTCTCTAGTGTTGTGAAGATAGCCCTGGATTTGAAGTTTGAAGATCTGGTATCTACAGTGTTTAACTCTGGGACCTGGAATAAGTCCTTTTAGTTTTCTCAGCTTCGGTTTCCTCATCTCTAACTCTTAGCTTCTAATGTTTCTTCCAGTTTTTAAAGTCTATGATTTTCTGAGTCCCTCTTTCTTAGAATGGTTGGTGCTATGGTCTGAATGTTTGTGTCCCCTTCAAAATTCATGTGTTGAAAACCCAATGCCCAAGGTTACAGTATTAGGGGGTGGGGCCTTTGGGAGGTGATCAGATAATGAGGGCGTTGCTCTCATGAATGGGCTTTGTGCCCTTATCAAAGAGGCCCCAGAGAGCTAGGCTGCCTCTTCCACTATGTGAGGGCATAGCTGAGAGTGGGCCGTCTGCGCCTGGAAGAGGGCCTCCTCCAGAACCCGACCGTGCTGTCACCTTGATCTTGGACTTCCAGCCTCGAGAGGTGTGAGAAATACATTTCTGTTTGTAAGCCACCCAGTCTGTGGTATTTTGTTATAGCAGCCCGGGCAGATTAAGACAATTAGAAAGTTTAATGAAAGCACTTGGAGTTCCTTAGAAGAAATAATTTATATTTAAATTATTTTCATTATTGTTGTTCTTTCTTTGTTTTTATTGCTGTACATCTGCATGGGTTTGTAGGGAAAATCTTTATGAATTTATTCATCAGATACTGAGTGCCTCTTATGTGCAGGATGTGTAGGTATCGGGAATACAAAGACTTTCAAAACCTAGAGCTCTGGAGGACCTCTCAATAGAGGTAGAAGACAGCTATTTGCATTATGGTGTGCTCTGTGCTATAATACATGTGGAGAGGTAATAGTTATTTCTGAAATACTTACTGATTGCTTCCTCTGTATCTTAATAATAGAGCATGCTAGGCACTGGGAAGACAGAGAGGAATAAGACACAGTTGAAGAGCTAACAGTCCTAGTACTCATTTATAGATGCCAAGAGTATCTCAGCTTTGCGTAACACCAGGTAAATCCCTCTTACTCTGCGTCCCTGGAAGTCTGCTGGGTCTCTGCCAGAAGCTGGCAACACAGGATCCTATTCTCTACATTGTATTAGGTGAGTATTAGGTGAGTTATCAGTCAAGTAGTATTTTTTAAAGAGTGGCACCTGAGCTAACAGCTGTTGGCAATCTTTTTTTTTCTTCTTCTCCTCAAAGGCCCCTAGTACATAGTTGTACATTCTAGTTGTGGGTCCTTCTAGTTGTGCTATGTGGGATGCCACCTCAGCATGGCTTGATGAGCAGTGCTAGGTCCACGCCCAGGATCCGAACCGGCGAAACCCTGGGCCACTGAAGCTGGAGTGCGCAAACTTAACCACTTGGCCACGGGACCCGCCCCTCAAGTAGTATTTTATCAGGCACCAACTGTCTTGTGCTGGAAGGTGCTGAATCAGATCCAAAAATGTAATGGCTCAAACACAAAGGAAATTTATTTCTTGCCCATTTATTAGTCTAGGGTGAGAGTCCAGTCTTATTCCCCCTTGTGGCAGGGCTTGCCTTTGTGTGCTGCATAAGACTGAATTGTCACCTCCATGTAACAATAGATAGAAGGAGAAAGAGAGCCAGGGTGAAAACAGGTGGAAGAGACACACTCAGTCTCTAAAATGCCCTAATGGGGTGGGGACACACATCACTCCACTCAGATTCTGTTGGAGGGAGCACAGGCCTCAATTCTCTTACAAGGAAGACTGAAATGTGCCCAGCTACAAGCATCATGTATATATTCTATTTCTGTTTAAGAAGAGGAGAATAGATTTTGGTGGACAATCTGTTATCAAGTGAAACTGGTAAAAAAAAAATTCTTTCCTTAGGTCTCTTTCCCTTGAACACATATGTTTTTAGTTGTAAGAAATATTTTTTCTTTTCTAAGCCTCAAATTGGACTTAATCAGAGAAATAGAAAGCATAACACTTGCCCTCAAAGAACTTAAAAAGTTTCTAAGGTGGGCCAGACCTGGTTGCCTAGTGGTTAAGTTCAGCATGCCCCACTTCAGCAGCCTGTGTTTGGTTCCCGGGCATGGACCTACGCTGCTCTGTTAGCAGCCATGCTGTGCTGGCAGCCTACATGCTAAAAAACAGAGAAAGATTAGCACGGATGTTAGCTCAGGTTGAGTCTTCCTCAGCAAAAAAAAAAGTAGCTAAGGAAATAAGACTCATTTGCAAAATCACCTCTGCAGGGCACAGGCTGTATCTTATTCTCTGCTCCCTCGCTAGCACCTAACACAGATCTGATGTGTACTAGTTGCTCAAATAATTGTTGGATTCAATTACAAGCAGTCTAAGTGCATGGCTGTCAAAATAAGATGAGGTGTGGTTGATGGAAAGATGCCAATGGACTCTGTTAGAGGATGTTATAAATAGGAACTCAGATTATTATGGAAAGCAGATGATAAAGCAGCATGCCCCGAGACTGAATGTGACTTCCCAGGTTTGCAAAGTTCCTGGGGGCATGCAAATTGATGTACATGCAGCAGAGATTCCTCCAGGTGTGAAAAGCAACCTCTGCCCTTCTTCTGGGAGATTATTCCATCCCGGCCACCTCCGCTACCTGTCTGTTATGGGGGCTCTGGCCACATGCTTGCCTTTGGCCAAGTGTAAATAACGGGGACAAAACAGCCTCAGGACTCTCCTGAGTAATCGCCTCGAGACTGAGTGAAGTGAGTTTCTAGGGGGTAACGTCCCCAAGCAGGCCCGGCTTTAGGCCTCCGTGACGTCCGTTCTTTGCCAGGTTAGCGCACATCATTGTGAGTTCACTATTAGCTCTAGGATATGGGGCGGATTTCTAATTCTGATTTTTTTAACAGCTTTATTGAGATATAATTTACATACCATAAAACTCATCCTTTAAAAATGTTCAATTCAGTGGTTTTTAGTAGCTTGTATGACCGCCACCACTATCTAATTGCAGAACACTTTCATTACCCCTGAAAGAAACCGTGTACCCATTAGCAACCACTCTCCATTCCTCCCTTGTGCTTCCCCCCAACTCTAGGCGACCACGAACCTGCTTTCTGTTTCTATGGATCTGCCTATTCTGGACATTTCATATAAATGGAATCGTAGGAAACTAAACCAATAAGTGTCCCAAGGCCAGGATTTGGACTAAATTCTCGTTTCCAAGTCTAGGGCTCTTTCCACTCCTCATCGGAGCCACCTCTTTGTGGAACAAGTGAAACTTGAACCTTGAGAAGCTGGTAGAATGGCTTTGCCTCCCATCATCACTTTTTAAATTTGTTTCCCTGACCATTTCCCGTGGTGGAACTTTAGTCATCAAAATGCTTCTCCTTTGAAACTTCATCTTGTCGTCACCAGTTAACTTGCATGAGCACTGATGTTCTAGGCGTGTAGCTGTCCTGGCAGTTGCTTGAATTCTTGAGACGTAGTTTCCTCCACTCTTGGAGTGAGGCTTTGGCATGGCATTCACACACCGAGGACATTTGGACATGTCCTCTTGTGCTCGTATCCATATTAGATCATAGCATCCTTCCTTCTGTTTCAGCACTAATTTCGTAAAGCCAAGTCTGAATGTAGAAGGCCTAGTTTACCAACTACCCTGCTTCTTCCTTCTCTCTAGGCTTAATCTCGCCCCTTTGTGATTTCTTTTTCTCTTCAAGTCTATCTGTGATGGCCTCATCTCACCTGAACGAAAAATATTCATTTATTGGAATAGAGTGGTGATGGATAACCTATGATTTGCTGACTCACCAGCTCCCTAAGGAAGACTCTGGCCGTTGAAAGTGATTTCTCCCCCAGGACCTGGTGTTTGAGCCTTACAGATGGCGTTTGGCAGAGCCTTCCTCACTCACTGCATCCCTCCATACATATTCTAGGTTTAGATCACTTCTCCTTGCAGCCCCCCTGAATCCAATTTTATGCAGATTTCAAAGGAAGAGACACTGGGTCTTGTAAACCATATGGCTGCCATCAGTGTAATCAATAAAAATGCATTCTCTCTGCAGTAGTAGTAAGTGACAACAATATTAGGCTACTAATGAAATGGATCTTTTCATTGAGCATCTGTAACTTCTGAAACACAAGTTAATCATTTCAGAGAAGAGACCAGATTTTTCCACCTCTGAGTTTGTATTCAGAATCGACTCATCTTTTCCTCTCCTGACTTGAATTGCTCTGAAGACCCTGAGGCCTTTGGGGGCAGTGTCGACTGTGACATACTTGTGGCACAGATGATTGGCAGGTAGCCCAAGTGTAACACATTTTGTCTGTGTGACTCGCATAGCCAGCAGGGGTTTGCTCAGCAGCAGTGCTGTGCAGAGCCTGTTGAACTGGGCTAGGTCTGGGGACGGTCAGAAGAGGGAGGCATGCTCCCTGCCCTCGAGCAGCTTACTGTCCTCCAGTCAGGTGTATGTGACTGTCGGTCTTGAAAACTCTCTAAAATATGCTCAGTTTAATGCACCAACCATTACCAGAAAAAATGGGAGATGGCTTCCTGGAGGAGGAGGGTTTGAAATAGGCCGAGGGGGCCTTGAAGCCTGGAGGGCTTGAGTGAGGAGTGGACAGCACAATACCTTGGAGTCAACTAGTTCTGACTTTCAGTTCCAGCTCTGCCTATTCTTATATGACGTTAGCAAGTTATTTAAACCTTTAAATGGAGGAACAAGCTGTTATGTGAATTCAGACCTTGTACAGTTCCCAGCACAATAGAAGCTCAATAAATGATGTTTCCCATTTAGGTTAAAGATGGGAAAGAAGGAAAAATAGGAAATGAACTTATGTTTGAGGGGCAATGGAATAACAGCATGCTGAGAGATTAGGGTAAAAGGAATATAGAGGCTTTTTTGGGGTACAGTGCCTGTTTTTGGTTGTTAAATGATGATATTCATCTTTTCCCAAAGAAATGTACAATCGATCTTCTCCTTGCCCTACAGAGCACTGTCCTTTGTCTCCCACTGCTGTGCTGGTTCGTTTGTCACTCCCTGGCTCTCTGAGTCCCAGCTGTGCCTGCTTAACCGTGTTTCTCTCGTATCCAGGAGTGCCCCCACCCCAGCTCACTGCTGCCCGGCCATTGGAACACTGTATAACACCAACACCCTTGAAGCTTTCAAGGCTGCGGATAAGAAGCTACTTTTGGAACAAGCAGCAGACGAGGTTAGCTGGGAAAGCGTGATGTATGCATCATATTTTCTGTGGTCGCGACAGGCAGGCTGTTTCTGGTCAGGTGCATGGGTCTGTCCTAGAAACTAGTAGGTAGTCAGTACCCCAAGGTAGTTGTGGGCTTCTGTGTTCTGGGAAGGGCAGAGTGGAGACATTCAGGCTCTCACCTGAGGATAGGCTGGCAATTCATGCCAGGGCAGTGTGAAAAGCTTTGCTGCTGATCTCCAGTTAGCATTCTGAAGCAGTTTGACCTCTCTGCGAGTTGTGTTCCTGTGTCTGAATGCATTTGGGTTCTCTGTTCTTTGTGCCCCTTGGAGAGGCTTTCCAGCCTAAGCACTGTAGTGCTGTCAGAGATGATCATATAGCGTCTCCAGGATCCTCAGCACTAAGTCTAAACTGCTCCATCTGATTTACAGGACCCCTCGGGGCCTGGCCTCTGTGGCCTCTCTGTGCTGTCACTCTTATCCCTCCTCCTCTGACTCAGTCACAGCAAATCACTCCTAATTCCTTCCTTCACCTACTCTTTGTTCTCTCCTTTACCTTTGGCACATGATGTTCTCTCTTCCTGGAATGTCTTTCCTTTACTTCTTCACGTCTGAGTTAGCGTGAGGATAGGGGGATAGTTTATCCCATCCTCTCAACCCACTTAATCAAGTGTTGTTCACACTAGTCTTATAAAACAAAGGAGTCTTATTTATGTGGGTGCCATGGTCTGAGAAGCGAGTCTCCCTCCTTTGGTGCTGAGGTGGGCGTCCCTTTCCTCCCTCACAATGGATACAGTGTGTGACTCAGGTGATGATCTGAGTCTTCGTTGGATGATCCTCCAAGGATGTTCTTGTCTCCCTGACGTGTGGCTTGACTGCTCCTGAGCCTCCTGTCTTGGCTGCACTTTTAAAAAGCTGTCTGCAAAGAGTTGGGTCAGGTCTTACTCTATCATTGAAAACAGCAGGTTGCTCCTCACAGGAATCCTAGCCCTTCCCCGGGGCTCAGCCTTCCCCTGGCAGTCTCCCCGCCACAGCTTAGCAGAAGCAGGAGCCTGCTCTTCAGTGGTTCAGCTCCTCCAAGGTTATGACTTCAATAGCAAGAACTTCTCTTTGCTTCTTTCCCTCTTCCACCCATTTGGGGGCAATGGCTTTTATTGGTCCAACAGTTTGTGTTGCTTAGTGACACAATGTTTAGCAACTAATCTTAGCTACTAAAACATCTTGTGACCAGCAGCTGCTGCTTCCAGTCACAAAACTTGCTGAGTACTCATAAACTTGAAATTTGTTCTCTTTCCTTCATGTCTCAGGGCAATATAATCCCAAATAAGACTTTAAGAAATCCCCTATACGTGGTTCAGATCACTCCTGGAGCCTCTCCCTGGCTCTTTTCCCTCTTACTTCCCCAGCCAAGATGGTGCTCCTCCCAGGAATTCTACATCCTTCTGCGATAGCGCATCCTGCCTGGTGGTGTTCTCGGACATTGATGCCTCTCTGTCTCTCATGAGACTATAAGGTTCTCGAGGGTAGGAACTGTGTGTTTTAGTTCTGTAACCCCAGTGTGCCTGGTGTGTAGTGGACGATAAGTAAACACTTGTTGAAGGAAATAACGAAGGCATGAAAATGGCCTGATTGCTTCCTCTGATGCTGAGACCCACTGAGAGGAGCTTCTGGGTTCTCTCGCTTTCCTCAGCCTCTGCAGGGACTGTGGCTGGTGGAGAGGCCGTGTGAAGTGGGCAGAGTGCGTAACGACCCGCTTGGTTGCCTGGGATAAGTGGTGCTAGGCCTCTAGGAAAGAAGAGCTTGGTGCTTTTCAGCTCTGTACTTTGCTTGAGAGTGAGAAGCTCCGAGACGCCTGATCACCTGCCCTGACGCTTTTCTTTCTTCTGGCAGATATGGGAATCCATAAAATCGGGCGCTGCCCTCGAAAACCCTGTCCTCCTCAACAAGTTCCTCCTCTTGACATTTGCAGTAAGTAAATGGACCCATGTTCACATTTAGATTGCTCGAATGCCCTGGCCAAACCCAGTGTGCTGATAGAACAGTGGGCTCTCGTTTCCCTGAAGCTATCACCTTGTGTTAGTCAGATGATGACTGTTTAAGAAAAGCTCATTTGGTTAGTGGTCCAACAGTGCTGGCACTTAGTACCAGTGCAAAATTAACGCCTTCTTATTGATCATCCTGGTATGGTCATACACTGGTAGTAGTTGCATGGTTTATGTAGCACAGTGACCCAACTCTTGTCATTCAGGACATGATAGTCAGGTTCAGGGAGCAGTGGGCCCTTGTTGCCGACGTCTTCGTTAAATACAGTCCTGCAGAGCTTAGTTGCTGGGTCCATTAACAGAAGGAAAAGGTGGTGTCTTGGGGATCCCGACCATCCCCAAGCGTTTTCTGGGCTAGAGGAGATCATACTACATAGTTTGACTAGACAGTTACATTTTTTTGAGAAAGAAAAATGTTTTATGTAAGTGAGATCTAATTAAAATGAACATTAGGGGCAGCTTTGAAGAGGAAAAGAGATCACAATAGGGTAACATCTGCTACCTAGGAAAGTAAAAGGACCTGGTCTCCGTGATGGGGAAAGTAGGGAAAAGGTGAGGGTTGATTATGGAAGGACCAGCTACACACACACACACACACACACACACACACACACGTATATATATACGCATATAAGTATATGTGTGTGTATCTCTATATATCTACATGTAAAACTAATTTATCCCTTACAGTTATGTTGACTGTACACTATCTTGTTAAGTGTGTGTTCTATAGACCCTTGTGCATCCAGGCTGTTTTCAATATTCACAATTAAAAAATTGTTGCTGTGAAGAATATTGGCCATGCTGATCTTTTTTTCCTGTTCATTTTATTTCTTTAGATTATATTCTGTGGAGCAGGCATATAAGCATATTGATGTTGATATGTATTATGTGTTGTCACCACAGCTTCATCAGCTTTGGGTATTAATCCTCTTCCCCACATTTTTCTCTTTTTTTTTTTTTTGCTGAGTTACAGGTCTTGCCTTTCTTCCTCCCCCACGAACTATTTCTCCATCTCTTCTGAAGGCTGCCTCTCTGATTTACTGAGGGAATGACAGGAATCAAACTGGAGGCCTTGCCAAAGGGTGGCTGTCTACAAGGAGCACATTTTCTAGCCAGTTATAAAGCTTTCTGTGCAATAGTAGGGGAGATAGAAAAATGTTTAAATTCTTCATGAGATTACTAGGTGTAATTTGGCATTGATAATTTGTCTGTAAATTTGAGTGATTTTGTAAATTCGCTATTGGTATAGATATAAGTCATGCTTGTTAAAGATTTCTAGTTTTGTTACTTTAATGTCAATACTTTTTCTGTATCAAGAATTCTAGTTAGTAGAATCCAGTTGGCAATTTAAATAGAAAAATAACATTAGTTCTTAAAGTTTTAAGGCATTTCCTAGAGTCAGTGTGTATGTTAGCCTTGTTGCCTTTTTTACTGTGCATTCTTAGCCTGCCTTTAAAAAAAATTAAAAGTCTCTATCTTTTAAAATCTTCAGACACAAAAGGCTTTATGTTTAATTCAGTTGAGGTCCTTTGTATCCTAAAAAACATCCTGAGAAATTCAAGCCTTCTGACTTTTGAAGATGGCCTGATAAAGCTTCTTAGAAATCGCCAAGTCCTCCGTCTTGAATCATTTAACCTTTTCCTAAAGATCAGTTATGACAAATCATTTAAGTACAAAGAAGAGAGAATAATCTCTGGAGGAGGTGTTTTTGCTTTTATTTCTGCTGTTTTTAGGACTCAGAGAAACAGACACTTCACTAATTTCAGTTTTATAGTTTGTTTTGCTGTTGTCAAAAGGGGATTTGTTCTCAGTTGAACAGTTATTAGCAGAATTAGAGACTGTGGAAACTATAATTACTAGACTCTCTCATCTGGACGCACATTTATGTACAAGTTTATATTTAAAAAGTCATCTAGTATGGTTCCATTTATATGAAAAGTCCAGAAAAGGCAAATCCGTAGAGACAGAGAATAGATTGGTGGTTTCCAGGGGCTGGGAAGAGCTGAGGGTGTGGGGAGTTTCTGTGAATGAGTTTTTTAACTTATGAACTAATGGGGAGTTTCTGCTATTGGAGTTTCTTTTAGGGGTTATGAAAATATTCTGGAATTGGTGGTGATGGTGGTACAACTTTGTCAGGATACTAGGAAACTACTCAACTGTACACTTTAACAGGGTGAATTTTATGGTATGTGAATTAGTTCTCAATAAAAAGTCTTCTAACCACCATCTACTCAAAACTCTTAGCAAGATTCAAGAAGAAATATTAATTACCCAAATAAACTACATTGTGGTCAGTGCTAACAGACTGGTGAGGATGCTGTCACATACCCACATAACTGTGGGATCCTACCACATGAGTGATTCAGGCCACACATGCTGCAGGCATCCAGAGGCAAGAGCATTCAGCCTGAGTGGGCACAGTATCTAGGACAGCGTCACAAGTCAGTGCCCCTGCATCGCTTCCCCTGGTGGAGAAGCAGTCAGATACACCTCTGAAGATGTAATCTCTTATGTCATCGATGCTCCTTAGTTCTTAGACCCTCTTCTGTGACTCATACAGTTAATCATGTACTCACTTTATCTCTGCTCCACGCAGAGAGTGAGCTGCCCAAGGGCTGCACTGGGTTTTAGTCATCTTCTTATCAGAGTGTCCAATGTTTTGACTTGTCCATAGCAAGTGCTTAATAGTTGTTGACTTGAATTTCGCCAATAAGGCGTTTCTGAAAGCAACGTTGTATTATCTCAGGCATATGTAGGTTATGAATAGCACAACTTCTTTAATAGCATGCTTAATTCATCTGATTGTAAACAGAATGAGACTGTGTTTGGAGGGCATGCCTCCACAGATGGAACATTGAGTATGTGTGGACAAAAGCTTAAGTTTTGGAAGCAGGATTCTGCTCCCCTCTCTGCCACTTATTATCTTTGTTTTGTTCAAGTTCTTCACCCCTCTCTAAGCTCCAGTTTTCTGTCTATAACATGGGATGATAGTAGTTCCTTTCCAGGGTGGTTTTTGTGTATTAAACAGTGATGACGATATTGTCAGTTACTGATTGAACACTTTTTGTTAGCAAGTGGCCAATAAGTACATTATGTTTATCATGATATTTTAGCGTGTGGTGTGTGGGACTATTTTGGGATAAAGACATAAATTCTGTATTTTATCATGAGTTCTTTCGGAGATGAGAATTTCTGACAAGCTGGTCATATCTTGTTTGTGTCAGTTTTTCTGTCTTACGTGGCTATGGGAAGTTAAGTTAATAGATGAATTTCAGTTTAATCATTGGTACTATTCTGATGTCCTATGTTATATTTTTTCTTCTAGGATCTGAAGAAGTACCACTTCTACTATTGGTTTTGCTCCCCCGCTCTCTGCCTTCCAGAGAGTATACCCCTCATTCAGGGACCAGAGGGCTTGGATCACAGGTTTTCACCAAAACAGGTATCAAGAAATAAAACAAAATGCTGGTAAAATTGGGTTTAACGTGTATGAGTAGATTATCTAGCTCATTCTAAAGACAGATAGGCACTTGTCTGGATGAAGAGATGGTTACTGTGGAATCCTCCAAAGATAGTACTAGGAACAGACTTCTTCACCAACTGTTCGTAAAATCATTTTGAAGAAATAGTGAGCAATACTTTTCCAGGTTTTCTGTGACATTTGGTGAAATGCTCAGTCAGTAAGGAGGAATTATAAGAACATTTTGAAATACTGCAAGGATTTGCCAATATGTGGTCTTGACTTTCAGTGTGGGAGATGATAAGGCAATATACTTTGGGAAGACAGTCTTTGAAACCAAAGAGAAGACGTTCTCCTACCCTCATACCAAGTTGCACAACTTCTGCATCATGATGCAGAGCTAGTCTTTGCAGTTTAAGAAAGAAAATGAGATTGTTGGAGATGGTCCCAAGAAGGGCAATGAAAATGATCAGACTGGTAGAACAGACCCTAAACTAAAGAATTCTGATTGTTGTTGAGGCAAAGATTGAGTGACAAGATGATTTGAATTCATGAAGTACATCAATCACTAAAACCCTGAATTCTAAAGCCAGGGAGAAGCCCTTATTGATTAAAAAATCCTGAGTTTATTTAGGACAAATCAAAGGTTGTGGTATCGTGGAAGTATTTCCTAAAAAGAAATATAAGTAGGGAAAAGAATTTTGCCTGCAGATTGACTGCTGATGGATGAAAATGTTCTGAAATTATTGTAGTGATGGTTGCATAATCCTGGGAACACGCTAAAAACAGCTTTGAATTGTGCACTTGAAATGGGTGGATTGTATGGTAAGTGAAGTATGTCCCAATAAAGCTGTTAGATTATGGAAAGGTTCAAAAGGTGAAATGCATCCATGGTAGATTCATGCTTGGTTATTTCAGGAGAGAAATCATGTTTGGATACCCCTCTAGACCTTTGTGGTTGACATCTTAGGGAACCACCACACTGTACCATAAATGTCCCCTTGTGCCCCTGTTGAAGACACACTGCCATGCACGTGGAAAGTGTTTATAGAAGTGAAGTGGTATGATTTTTTATTTTATGTTCATTTGCTACAAAAAGAGTAACAGGGATGTGATCAGTCGTTTCCAGTCTTCTGGCTTGAAAGTACCTTTTATGTTAATTTTAGGCTCAGAACTAGGTATGTAATTGTCTGGAGAATAATGCAATGTTTCCTGTTTTCAGATTCAAGCTCTTCAGCGTGCATATGATGATCTTTGTCAAACAGAAGGAGTCCCAGCGCTACCTTACTTCTTAATCAAGTATGATGAGAACACGGTGCTGGTTTCCTTGCTTAAACACTACAGTGATTTCTTCCAAGGTCAAAGGACGAAGGTCAGAGAAACTTTGAGTATCATTTTATTATCCAGTAAAAAAATATCTGAGATTTGTGTTATAGTAGACCACTGCAAAATTCAAACTCATTTAGGTTTCTTTAGCCCTCCAAAGGATGTTTCAGAACATTTCTTTCTCTTCACCCTCTCCCGCCCCTGCAGTTCCCAAATGAGCTCCTCCTCCAGATTTTCCTAGTCTGTGACACCTCAGGGTAGTCTTGGGATTCCTCACTTCCTGTCAGTGATAAAGTTATTTCAGTTTTCCTTCCTGATCTGTTTTGTATCTATGTTTTGATTTATTCCCAGAGCTGCCACTGTAGTTCAGGCCCTGATTCTCTCACTCCTGGACACTTAGAGTCCTCTTGCTTCCATCTTGCACAGCACCGCAGTGGAAGACTCTCCTCAAACTGCTCGCATTCGCTGTATCATTCACTGATCGAGAGGCAGTGGTATCTTCCTTCTGGCTCCAAGCTACCTCTCCTGCCTCATCTTCCACTGTCTTCCTCGTAAGGCATTGCTCCAGCTAAGCTTGTCTGTTTTTCGCTGACAACCCCCCTAATCAAACATACCTAGAACTTTTTCTATATCTCTCTTTGTCCTCGCATTGTATCATCTTCCTGAAACCTATTCTACCTGTGAAAATCCTAGGAAACTCTCTCCTTGTTGAAATCCTGCCTCTGTGGTGAAGCCTTCTCATGGTGTTGCTTGTGTGATCCGTCCCTTTCTGACTCACAGCACTTACTCCCTGATCCTCATTCACTGCTCCACCCCCTTGTACTAATGACTTGTCAGGCTGTGTTAGCCTGTAAGCTCCTAGAGGGCAGGGACGTGTCTGATGTGTCTGTGCCACACAATGTCTAGCGCTTGTCTGAGGCCCTCAATAAAATTCTTTTGAATAAGTAAAAGAGTACTATAAGTATCTTTTCGATGTGATGAGGTGTATCGTAAGCTGTCTTAGCCATATAGGAGATTGTAAAATATAAAAAATTGATGAGTGTTATCAAGTTCTGAAATCGAGTGGGATCATTTCAATAGCTGTGTAGATATATCAGAGCTGAGAAGAGAGAGACCTCTGACTGACGCCCTGATGATTCCTTAGCCTGAACTCAGGAAAAACCTTTTTAAAGTTCATTTCTTTCTCAACTACATTAGTATTTGCTTTTTCACAGGGAGCCCTTTTTAAACTGATGACTGAGGATTGAATTTTTATTAACATTCTGTTTTCTCCCAGGCAATTTCACAGAACTTTGGCTAAATTAGTAGCAACGAGACCAACCATTAATGATTTGAAGTCCAGTCTGGAGTGAGGCCCTGCTGTGACGGCGGGCAGGTTGAAGCGGCCTGGTAGCCCAGGTTGTGTGTGGTGTATAAGTGGGCCTCCTGCAAAGGGCGGCTCCACCAAATACTAACAATTTGCAGAGCGCTTCACAGTTTAAAAGGGGCTTTCACATACTCCCTCTTGTAATGACTTGGTGAAATTGGTGTTGTTAGGATCTGCATTTTCTGTTTGACAAAAATGAGACTCAAAGTCACAGAGCCACATTGTCTCTGTTTCTAAAGCCTGTGCACTTTGTTCCATCCCATTCTCACTTCATTCGGGTAAAAGCAGTCTCTGCTTGACCCTTGGAATGGGATAGATCTGGATTTGACACCCAGCATTGCCACTTAGTAGCTCCGTGACCTTGAGGGAATCGCGTGACCTTTCTTCACCTTAGTCTGGCTGTTAAATGGTGGTAATACTACTTCCTTCAAGGCTTTGTGAAAATTCAGCATGGTACTGTGAACAAAAGGCCCAGTGCATAGCAGGCGCTCCATATGAATCCACTTCCTTTCTTCCTCACCAGCAGCATATTTTCAAACACTGAGCAAATCTCTGGAGTCTCCTTTGAAGTGCGCAGGGTGAGTTTACCACTGCCCTGACCCTGCCCTGAGACCAGCCACCTGCCATGTTCAGTCACTTGGTGAGCGTTGTGTCTCAGGAAAGCCTGGAATTGCTCAACGCATCTGCTGAGCACCTCCTTATGGGCCAGAAATTGTGAGATATGATTCTACCTCTTCTCATGGAGTCTGGGGTCTTCTGGGAGAGATGAGACATCGACTTGGGGAAAGTTAACTAGAAATTCAGGTAACGGAAGAGAAGTGCCAACGAAATGCTACAGATAATCAGATGATAGTTTGGTTGTTTATCTATGCCTTGTCTTGTTCTAGGAAGGATAGCCAGAAGCTGTGCAGACTGGTGGCCTCATAGATGTTTCATGGCCTCCTGGCTGACCTTTCTATCTGTGGTCCTGAATGTCCCATCCAGCCCTACACTGCTGCCCAAATGCATTTTTTTAAAGTGAAAATTTGACCGTGTTACTATTCTACTTAAAACCCTTCTGTGGTTCCTGTCAGGATAAAGTTAAAACTACTTAGGTTGGCATTCGAGGCCTCTTCAAACCTGGCTCCTGCCTGTCACTCTAGCCTCATCTGGTATTCCCCAGGATGCATCCTATGCTCTGGCTGCAACTGTGCCCTCCAAATGCTCCATGCTTTTCCCCTCATCTCTGTGCCTTCTGACTTGCCTTCCTCTGTCTCCCTTCACCTGGCTCCTGCCTCACCGCCCTTTCTGCTCCATCACTCTGGGAAGTGCTGGCCCATTCCTGTACTGCGTGATGTCCCTCTTCTGTGTTCTGGGAGCAGCCTCTCTCCCCGCACTGACTGAGCTCTAGTGTAATTGTTGGTTTGCTTATCTGCCTGTCCCCATCCCCGACCAGCCTGTGAGCACTTGAGCACACTGTACCCTGAACATTTAGTGTAATGCTGGACACCGAAAGGGCACGGGGTGGGTGAATGTTGAGGGGTAGAGAGTTCATTGTACACTGGTATTGTCACAGAAGGCTTCAGGGGGAAGTAGGACTTCAGCAGAACCCTGAAGAAGTGATTTCTGTGAAACCTGTACATCACTTCCCTTAAAGTCCTTCCTGCCTTTATGGCATTAATCTAGTTCACTCTCTAGCAGAAGTCCGGTTTCTCTTTAGTGTTCCTTGAGTCATGAAGTCTCCTTTCAGGTTTTTACGCTATTCTTCCAGAAACAGGCATTCTTCTCAGTGTGAACTCCTGCACTTGTGCTCTGGCTTCGTATTTCACTGTGTTTGTGCCTCCTCTTCTTACCAGGACTTTGACCCCTGCGAAGCCCCTGTTCCTCTGTGAGCCTTGGTGTCCTCATGTATAAGATGGAGAAATGTTGGAATCCCTGCAAATTTCTGTTTTTTCAGTCTGTTTTCTCTTCTGGGGCATCTCGTTGCGCCCATGACTTCAGTGACCACTTTCTCCAGCCCCAAGCTCCCTCTGGACCCCAGACTGCATTATCCAACTGCCGGCTGGCCTCCTCAAATTCAGTGTGTCCAAGCTGAACTCGTCACCTTCACTGCAAATCTGATCCTCTTCTGGGCATCACTGTTTTGCAGTGACACTGCCATCCATCCAGTCACGAGAGCCAGGAATCTGGGCAGCCTGCTAGACACTGCTCTGTCCTTTACCACCCCCGTGTCTTGTGGATTTTTTGTCCTAAACCCCTCTCCCTCTGCTGCCTTTGATTTCTTCTGCCACCACCCCAATCTAAGCTACCACCATCTTTTATCTGCTTTACTGCATTAGCTTCCTAAGAGGCCTCCTTGTGTCTACTCTGGCCTCCCTCTGTCTGTCCCTGTATCAGCTGAAGCAATCTTTTGAAAAGCAAATCTGATCATGCCACTCTCAAAATAAAACATAGCAATGTGTTCTTCCCTGTGCTCTAAGAAGAATAACAAAATTCCATAATATGGCATATAAGACTCTACATGGCCTGGCCCCTCTGCAGATCCAGCCTCAAGTCATTCCATGTTCCCTGTTGCTTTGTACCCATCACACCTCAGAGATATAGGAGCCCTCCTGCCACAGGGCTTTTGCACATGCCGTTTGCCTGGAACAGGCTTTTCCTTTCTCTTCTTCCACCTCTTCCCCTCCCTCACTCCCTCCCCTTTGCCCAGTGAAGCGTTTACTCTTTCTTTAGATTCAAACTTAATCACATTTCCTCAAGGAAAACCTCCCTGACCCCTGTAAAAAGGTTTATTCCAGCTGTCCTGGGCTCTCACAGCACTGTGTAGCTCTCCTTTGTAGTATTTAGCACAGTTGTAGTTGTACATTTTCTTGGATGGTCTTTGATTAATATCCTATCTTTGATTTCCCACCATTGCACCTGCATCCTGTGGTATTGTGCCTGGCGCGTAGAATACAATGGAAGGATGAATGCATGTGTGCAGGAGGTGTCTAAGGATTGGAGCTCACATATGTGAAGCACCTAGGTCAGTGCCTGACACACAGTAGGCCTTCAGTAAGTAGTGAGTCGCTGTTGGTGTGGCTCATTATGTTCTCTTTAATTTGAGTATTCTGCTGCCTGATTAGGGCCATGTAGTTTATAAAGGCTTTCCAAAATTGTCTGTGCACCTAAAGTTTATGTCTAATGTGAGTCACAGATGTGCACAGTAGTCTGACAGGAGACGGAATGTGGGGGAGATATATGATCTGCAAGCCAGCCCTGGTGGTCTGGTGTTAAGATTTGGCACTCTAACTCCTGCAGCCTGGGTTCTTTTCCCAGACAGGGAGCCATTCCAGACAGCTGTCTGTTGGTTGTCATACTGTGGCAGCTACATGTTGCTGTGATGCTGAAAGCTGTGCCACTGGTATTTCAAATATCAGCAGGGTGACCCATGGTGGACAAGTTTCAGTGGAGCTTCTAGACTAAGACAGACTAGGAAGAAGGACCTGGCCACCCACTTCTGAAAAAGTTGGCTGTGAAAACCCTATGAATACAACAGAGCATTGTGTAGCACTAGAAGGTGGGCGGAGGGCACAGACAGACTGGGCAGGGTTCTGGTCTGCTGTACACGGGGTCACCGGGAGTCAGAATGACTCCACAGCACTAACAAAAACATGATCTGCAATGGGTAATTTCGAGCAGTGGTTCTTAATTTGGGACAG